AAGAGTTTGTTTTTATAGTGATTCCCCATTCAATTGGTTGGGCTATCACTTGCTATTATGTCTATCATATAATAGTTTATCAGGTTTTCTATTTTTATTTAATTACATATTACTTACTTCTCAAAATGAAATCATTGAATAATCATTTAAAATTCATATTAAAGCCTAATAAAAGACGTGGGTTAAATATAACACATGTAATCAAAGAATTTCATGAAATCTATTTAGAGATCGATATATATAACCGAAATTATTGGTCAGTGTTTTTAGCCATAGTATGGATGACATTCAGTTCAGTCATATCTTTGCTAACATTTACGAGTATTTTCTCAGATCTTATCATTTACTCGAAAATAGCACTCATTTACATATCTGTTATGTTTGTAACGATGCTATTGTTTATAATTCATATCACATCTCAAATACACATTGAAGTCAACAATTCATATGTTTTGTTAAATTCATTGAATTGCTTTTTACAATTTCGTTCAAAAATATTAAAAATAAAGGTACAGGTACATTTTCATAATCATTAAACAAGCATTAATTAGAAAATTACTAAATATATTTATCTGATTTCACTTAATTTAAAGCTTATGGTATTCATTGAGAGGAATGCCTTAAAAAGGGTTGGATTTTATTGTTGGAAACTATTTGTCATTAATTATATGCGAGGCTTTGAGGTATTCATTCAATGTTGTAAAGTTACATATAGTTTACTATTATTTTAATGTTATTTATTTAACTGTAACAGATTATATCAATTAGTATATTATCATTTCTCAAGATAATTGATTTGTCCAAATGACTGACTCCAGTATTATGCAAAATATCATTTATTAAGTATTTTTTAAATTAAAATTTTATTTCTAATTTACAATATTAGTTGTTATAAATATGGTTGCAGTAAGATCAATAAACAATAATTATTTCAAAAATACTTATAGAAAAAGATAATTTGTATTGTACATTTATATCAACATTATCAATAATATGCGGGGCACTGTGGTATAGATTTATATAATTAATATAATATACACATTTATCTTAATATATTTCATAATCTAATTTATACAAATTATTTCGTTTTGTTGAATTTATTTAATTTTTTATTATAAAAGTTAATGATTGTCTGAAATAACATTTGAAAATTCAAACGTTAAGAATCGTCAGACATACTGTTTGCCTAAATTCAACGGACGGGTAGTACTCTCGGCCATCGAGTCTCGGGAAGTATTGGTCCATCTTTTTGACGGGAAAGGTATGCAATGAATACATTTCTCTCATATAATGTCGGAACTGCTTGTTGTTTGCGTCCAACCGAAAGCCCATCCCTTCCCATAACCCCAACTGAGCCACAAATCCATGGTTTGGCGAAATGATGGGACGCCGGCACTGAACTAACGAATGGATCTCTTCGTACGTCTTCCGCCGCTTTTTCATCAGATAAGAGCAGACTATTGTCGTCGATTGGGACACACCTGCCATACAGTGCATCAGAATCCCGGTGCCCGACACCACACACTTGTCAATGATGTCATACGCCTCCGGAAAGTGAGTCAAGAGGTCTTCGTGTGGCGAATCGTCCGCTTGAATCCAGTGGTATCTAATGCCACCGATTCTG